GCACTACTCCTTATGTGCTAATCTTGTCCTGTGCTGTGCAGTTGCATCACTAAAACCTGGATTTAAAAGCTTTAGAAATGAAGATAAGATCGTGCGAAAAACCCGTCAATGGCTTCAACAAAGTAAAATATTGCCACTGCCTTATTACAAGGATCAATGCCATTCATATTTATAATAATAATTTCAAAAAGTGGGGTATTTTAAAGATCTAGGCACATCTATGAAGAAAAAGAAGCAATAACCTGATGTTCCGGCAAATTCCTAGAAAATAGAAGTGAGTAAATTTCTTCTGGTCCATGGCTGATTTTAGAGGTTATGTCAAAAGAAATGAAATATAAGAAAAATTAAACCAGGGAGTCCACATGACAAGGAAGGCAGCTGTGGACATACAGACACACAAATAACTCTGAAGCTCCAAGAAGATAGCAATAAAAACAACAAACCCTTAATTTTCCGTTTTTTATTTAAGTATTGGCGCTCACTATAGCAACTCTACCTCTGTCTGGTTTCTCTCGCTCGCTCATCCATCTATCAGCATCCTGAGATGTCTTTGCTTTTGTTGCGTCGTTGGAAACGTGTCTCAGCAGGGTCGAAACCTTGTTCTTGGGCTCCAAACAGAGCCCAGCTGGGAGTCTTGGCTACGTAGTCCAAGGCAGAGAAAGTCTGCTGTCCTCCACTCTCATCATAAGCTTGGATCAGTTCCTGAAAGCGTTCGTAGTCGATCCATGTCCACCACTCGCCATCCATCTTGAACTAAAACCACAGAAACAAAAAAACAGAGAAACAAGGTTGCAGATGAGCAACAAGCAGTAATCCAAGTAGAGTTTAGGGATCTGTATGTGGAAACTCTGTGCTTTTGCAAATCTTTTGCCAAGCCTGTTTGCAATTCAACACTAATTTAAGGAGACGGCCACCTGACACCATGTCCACTGATGTCAGCCGTTTCCGTATCAGAAAATAATATCACCCATCAAATTTCATGCATCTGTCATTTCATGAAAGTAAAACAAGAGATGCACACATTTCATTTCTACAGGATATTTCACTGGAACTGAAGCAAAGCAGAAAGCAAAGGCTCTCAGCAAATTACCACACAAACACATAAGTGTTGTGTGCTGTAAATTCAACAATAAAGAATTCACAGGTGTGAAAGATGAACATTAATTAAAGAGCTTCTTCCTCCACATTCACCACTGGCTAGAAGTTGAGCCTTTCTTTAAATGGTGTGGGATTCATCAACTCCACCACTTCCCTTCCAATCCCATCACTTGTTTTATCAATCACTGCTTCCTTCTTCATCACCCAATTTGCCATCCATCTCACTAAAGAGAAAAAAAGAGCAGAGATAAATGGGCAGCGGAGCGTGGAGAAAGAATATGTGTGTGTGTGTGTGTTTATTGAGTGGGGCACACAAACTACCCGGGAAAGAGAGAACAGCTTGTGTGTTTGACAGTGAGGGAAGAGCCTCCATCATCATTCGCTAAGCCTGCCTGTTTTCCCTGACGAGCACAGTGGGTGAAGAGCGTGACCTCTACTTTCCCAGCATGCACCAGTGCTCTCTAGTTGATACAATACGATGTTTTCCTTGTTATCACCAAAGGTGGGAAAGACTGAAAAGAAACAGGGGGCAGGCAAAGAAGCAAGCGTGTGTTATATAAACCAAACTTCTCTGAAGTTTGATGCTATTTATAGCTAACTCTACAGCAAAGCTTGAATTTCAAAGTGGTCCCTGAAGACTTGGAAGTTTTCTATAAGCTGTAACTGGATGCAAAATGTCACCATGTTGTCACTGGGGACAAACATTGTGCTTTTAGCATTTAAAATTTGTTTCAGGTTCACTGCTGCTTTAGCCTGACCCCCCATGAGTGCACTTGGGCTCACCACTTTAAAATTTTCACGCACCAAACTGCTCCTACCACTTTATTCATAAACAAGTGGAAAAGAGAGTAACATCACATCACTGACTTTCTTCTAAAAAGAAAAAAATATAGCAACTTGATGAATTTCTTTTTTACTCATGAATGCTGATTTGCCCCTTTAAAGACTAATGATGCCTCACTGAGGGAAAATGGCTTTTGAACGTTAGCCTGTTGATGACCCAGTGCCTTCGTAGGTGATTAGAGAAAATCTCTTTGCCACTTCTAACGAAGCCCAAGAAGAGTCAAAATAATGGAACCATCACCTGTTGGGAGTTGATGTTTGTTGTAATGAGGAAGGACTATATTTGCTTAGCTGGCATGTCAGTAAACAATTACTGTCTCTGTGAGAGCAAAGCTGTGCCGTCTTAGAGGAGAACAGGCACCCAGCGGTTTTAACTAACTAAATGAGCTACTTTCATGTCAGAACATGTCACTGAGCTGTAGCTCTCAGCAACTGGATGGATGGAAGACCGCTCCAGCTTTTCTGTCTATAGATTATAATCAACTGGAGGTACAGTAAACTCGAAATAAGCACAGTGCTCTGAGTAGAGGGGAAAAAACAACTCTTCCAAGTTATGCTGGATTTACGTAGCTCTTTGGCTTTGCAGAGGGAGGTATTCAACCAGGAGAGGCACTTGTGTGCAGTCCTGTGTGTAGCCTGATAGAAGCCATGTAAATGTCAAACGCTAACACGTTAAAAAGTTATCTTGAACAGAAAGGAAACAGCAGAAGTTAATCACAAAAAAGAAAAAGCCTTAACCCTCCACCCCACAATGATAAAAAAAAGTATACATGAGATGCAGCGATAATAATTAGAGTGAACAATTTTACCACCTAACTACAAAGAAGTGCTTTGTCTATTAAGATTTAAAGATTTGACGTTGTCGTGGGGCTAAAAGAGCAAAAACACCAGAAACAAACATAGCTCTTCATAGCACCTACAGGTTACCAATGCACTACCACGCTGAGTGCTTTGCACAGCCCGGTGCAAAAACAACCTTTCATAAAAGCAATCAAACGATAGCTTCAGGGCAGATAGTTAAAATATCTCACTCTGTGAGATGGATCACAGAAATGTCAAAAGACTACAGCACTGTCATTAAACTGGTAGAAAACTTGCAAAACCAAAGATAGAAATATTGAGGAGACATACTCTGCAATGTACCTGGCATAATTTGTATTAAAAGTAGACTCAAGATCTTTGAAAAATACATCTCTATGCAAGCACATGTAACACATACAGTAGCCTAGAAGGGACAAGGATGTTTTTGTTCCTACATTTATAATAAACGTTCAAACATTTGATGTAAGGTTTGACTTAATTTAGACTTTGAAACAAAAACTAAACAAGTCTAGTGAAAGCACTGATGTGCAAGTAAGCTCGCCTTTCATAAAAACAAGGTTGGGTCTCAACTGTTTTTTCGTTGCACCGTGCTCTTAGAGAGATGAAACCGAGAAGGATGAAAGAAGACTGAAAATAACAGAGAAAAGTCGGGGGAAGGGAAAGAGAGAAGAGATAAAAGAGAAAAAAGGGTGGCAGGAAAAGTAAAACGATGGATGAGAGAGGCAGAGATTCAAAGAGAAAGAAATGCCCAGCTATGGGAGGATCCCAGCAGTTGAAAAGTAACTAATGATGATGATGTGTCAGTGCAAGGAGGATCTATTGCTAGTTGCTATAGAGAAATAGACACACTCATATACACACACCCACAAAATGAGACTGATGTGCTTCCCTGTGATGCATATTAAATTCTGCTGTTATGTAAGTTGACATAAAACCTGAAGGAATTCATATTCTGATTTCTCTTCCTGCTGCACAAAGACATTCAAAACCCTGAAGACCTGTAAGCAAAACAGTCTCATTCACAAGAGGAACCTAAAAGTGAATTCAATTCCCAAAGTTGCTGGATTATTGATGAATGCCCAAAGACAGCAGTGTGCCAGCACGCACACATTGGTAAATATTTACACAGAAATAACTGGGAGGCATTCAATCAGAGGTTCAAGTTTTCATTCAATTTTGATTTTTCCTTTTATTTCTTTACTTTGGTCTATGTAGTTGCTCCAGTCACACTTTGGCATTGGCGCACCAATAGCGATTTCTTTTCCTCTGCCTAAAACTATAAATGTTGATGAACTCATCTATAAGGTACCAACTGAAACCAATAATTTGTGTCACAGTCTTTGTCAGGGACCTTTATTTCCTGACCGTAACTAGGACGATAACTAAATAAAAACTAATACACCAGGCCAAAAACTGATGAAATGCACTGACAATTTTGTTAAAAAATGAAAATGGGATGAAAATATTCTGGAGCAACCAGATCCAATCAGAACTAATTAACTTGTGTAAAAAGCAAAATGTCAACGTTTGGGTGGAAGAGAAGATTAGACATGCACATTTCACATTTGATGCCAGTAAAAGCATGACAAACTTTCAGACTTTACATTTTAGTCAACTAAATCAACTTTATATTTAGTCTACTACAGTCTTATATTTTGTCGACTAAAACGAAAAAAATCTCGATGTCTAAGTTGATGTTTTATTCAAAAGACTATAGTTAAAACTAAATCAAAATTTGCAGTCAAAATTAACACTGCTCTGAGCATGTGTTAACAGCTGAATCACATTTCAACTTACAGTTAACTGTTAAATAGCATAACAAAAAACTGCATTATGTTTTCATGAGAAATTACAAAGCTTAAAGTAGCAAAAGGAAACATTTCACTCTGACTTCAGGGAACTTTTGGAGAGCACTGTAGAGATATATCTAAGGCAGGTACTGGCTTTAAACCTCTGTCAGTGCGCCCCAGGGCGGCTGTGGCTACACTGTAGCTTGCCATCACCAGTGTGTGAATGTGTGTGTGAATGGGTGGATGATTGTGTATAGTGTAAAGCACTTTGGGGTCCTTAGGACCAAGTAAAGCGCTATACAAATACAGACCATTTACCATTTGGTGCTTTGGTATATTTAGAGATGATGGTGATCATCATCTCCTATGAAGTTGAATTATTATTAGTTTTAGATTTCATAGGGTGAATAAATAAAAGCCTTTACCTGACTCTTTTTGGTTAAGGGATTTGAGGGATTACTCCTCTTACTGCGGTGACCTTTCAATTAATGGTCCTTGACAGCTGAGTATTTTAACTTGTCGCTCAAATTTGAACATTGAATAGTATTTATGCACAATTTAAAATTAAGTGCTTCCATATTTGAGGTTTTTTTTTTTTGCCTTTTTGCTAATCCCACCTAAGATATAATTCAGTTTCTTATTAACGTTGCTCATTAGTTTCATTAATAATAACAACCTATAATAATCCAATTTCTCCCTGGCAGTTTTATAAATTGCAGTATGGTCTTAAATACAGACACAAGAACATATTCACATTCTTTCAGTATGTGTGAGTTCAGGTGGATACAGACAAACACACAGATGGACTGTGTGATACAGGAAACAACATACTCGCGCAAGTGTGTGTCCGAAGAAAAATAGAAGAAAAAGATAAAAAGACACAAACAGCGAATAGTTATTGTGCACTTGTACCATCTATGGGCTTACATTCCAGTTTATCTCCATAAAGTCAAAACGCTTGTCTAATTATCAATAAATCTCACACGGAATTTGAGAACAGAACGACAATCTTAACATATTCATATTATTAACATTCAGTGTCATGAGTACGACTTTTAAGATCCATCCAAAATATTCTAATCAGCAAAAAACACCCCAAACTATTTCTGCCTGATATGGCATCATATTATTATTCCTGTTAAAAATAACATGGAAACAGATTCTGAAGAGCAAACATAAAACATGTAAACCGTCTCCTACAAGTGAATATACAAGTATTGCAGTGTAATTAATGTTTTGCTTTCTACAACATTAGAAATTTAATGATAATACGATGAACTACAAGGTCCACTAGATTCCCAGACCTAATAATTCGTCGCTAATGTTAAATAAACATTGCACCTCTTTGCTATCTCCGACAAGTTAATGATTGGTTACAGTATGTGGCATGGCTTCCATAAGCCTATGTAGTGTTACAATATTTATTCCTATTCAGAGTTTTGTTAATTTTTTGTCAGGATCTAGTGCTGTTGGTGGGAGAGCTGGACCACGGCACAATCCCAGAGATTCTCACTGGGATTAAAGTCTGGACTCTGTGCTGGCTAATCTGTGTGAAAATGATGTCTCCTACTCCCTGGATCACCATTTCACAGTTTGAGCCTTATGACTCCTGGCATCGTGATGCTCCCACAGGTCAGTACTGTAGGCACTAAGCATGACGGCTCCATCACTTCATCCAGCTCTTTCCCTGATCATCAGTCAGGAACAGAATAAATCTGGACCTATCAGACCAGATGACCATTTTCCATTGCTCTAAAATCCAGACTTTATGCTATTTAACAACTGAACCTTTTTTATGACTAGCGTAATTAATAAGTGGTTTTCTTAAGGCTAAAGTGTTTAGTCCCAATCCCTTGAAATCCCCTCACAACACACTGTAGAACTGAGTTCTGAGTTCTACTGTTTTTCTACTGATTTTTCCAAATGTTTAAGTAACGTCCAATCATGATCATTCAGGATGCTTTTCGACCACATTTCTACCACAAAGATGATCATTCACCATTAACTTTCAAGATTGAATAATGTGTTTGACGGTTCTTAACTCAGTTTCAGTACTTTCAGCACATAAATAAACAATTTTAGCATTTAGAAATGCAATGTTTTCCACAACCACCATGATGGTATTTTAAGAAATGAGAAGCTATTCACTGCATCAGTTAAGGTTAAATGACCCGTTGCCAGCCAAAACACAATCACTGCAGTAATTATTCAGTGGAAGTCTCTGATCCATTTGCTTAGTGCAGTGCACATATTAAAAGTGTGTTTATATATATCAGTAGCGCTACTGATATTCAAGTCTGGAAAAGAATGGTCACCATTAGCCAGGCTAACGTTTCCATCCACTCCATCCTTTGTGCAATGCTGCCAGCACTTCTAAAACTAAAGCTTATTTAGAATCATATCTCAAATCTTCCAAGACTCAAGAGATATGATGTTTACAGTATATGCAGTTTATATATATAGCTTCAAGCAATTGCATTTAAATGAAAAGAAGAAATCGTCAGTAGGAGTCAACAAACACACCACAGAGAGAAACACTTGGACCATTGCCTCCAACCTGAAAAAAAAAATGTAAAAATGAAAAAAGGAGGATAAGGCACTGGCACTCCCATAAATTGTGACTGTACATCAAACAGAGTTCCTACTATGTGTGTATGTGTTTTTGTGATAGGCAGGTGTGGGTGCCTTGCTTGCTGGCTGCCTTGAATTTCTCCTGTCAGAGAGAGCCAAGATGGCAATCAATCATCATTCATTAACTGCTGATGGACAGTCGCCTTGGCAGAACCCAACACTGACTGGAGCTTTTTTGAGGGTTTGCCTCTGTAGAAGTAAATTCCTGCTGATGCTTGGACATTTTCAAAAGACAGCAGACTAAACTATATAAATTATGAAACAAGATAAAAATCAAAAAGCCAATTTGAAAACTAGGAACCTGCACTGGGCTGCCTGGAAAACAACCTTAGAAGATAAAACAGATAAAAAGGTGTGTGTCTGGAAAACTACAGAGAATTATGTATCGTCTATGATAACATTAATTTTTTTTATTAATTTCAAGTTCGTAGTTTTTACAAGGAATCAGAATTTTCCATCAGATGCATAGATGGTACTAACTTCCTGAAAATCAATTTCTTGTGGAATAATGTTTAAAAACGTACGTTTTCTAGATTATCTGTCAAAAAAGTCATATAATCTTGAGCAAAGCACGAAAATTAGACAGTTATCTTCCTCACATTAAGTGACAGACCTTACTATAAGTTTAAAACCTTGAACTGACACTAATTGCATCAAATGTGTGGAATTACTTGTGAGATCCAAGTAGAGATCTTGGATCTCACTTGTAGGAGACCTGTGAGATCCAAGTAATTATCAATGATGAGAAGAAACTCCAAATAAATAATAACTGTGTATCAAATATTCTTTAGTTGTCAAAAACTTCAGATGTGCTACATTATGTAGTTTTGTACAAACCTTTGGAGGCTTAGTATGAGTTATTACCTTGGTGTGTGCAATGAGCAGACAGTTTGAGTGCTCATGTTCGCAGGCAATCTCATATTCAGGCAACATGTCAGCTAGCTGCTGAACGAAGGTGACCACTTCCTGGTGCCAGGGAACATTTGCCATCGTCAGGCTGCTCGCAGAGCTTTCTCCGCAGTATGTCACCCCCTGGAGACACATGAGCAGACAATCAGAAACAGAGTACAGAAAAGAAAGATTTACAGTTTTTAACAAACATATTTTTACCCCACAAAATACAGAAGAGAAACGATGCAAGTAAAGGACAAATAATTTCCTACACAAACTTCAGCAAAACAGCTTTTTGTCTCCATACAAAGGCCTTAGTTTGAGTGACAGAGTAATTTTTTTTAGTGCCGCAGTGTCTGTCAGCAAGACTGCACGAACTACAAGGCCAACATTAATAAAAGCTTTTTGAGATGTTGAGCAAAGGAAGAACTAGTTCGATTTTTAGATCATATCTGAATCGGTGTCTTTAAAATTGCAAAACAGCCATTGTAGAGCATTAAAACACATCCACTTGTAGTTGCTTAGTACTCCATTTGTTTTCTTTCTCTCTTTTTTAAACACATAAATCGATTTTCCAAGAAACATATTTTAACAGAAGTGGTTTTTTGATTGAACATCAGCTATTAAAAGCATAAATGCTTCTGTATTCATGCCTTCATCAAAAGATCAATACTGAAAAATTAAACTGAGTGAAATATCTAAGACTGGAAAATGCAGTCTTTTCTGGTGAGCTTGTACTTTGGATACTAATGGACAGGTATGACTTTCAAATATTTACCAGACCAATAACATGTGTGAGATACTGTAAGATTAGATCAAATACTTTCCTCTGAAAACAAAGTATTATTGCTTAAAATTCTTTAGAGTACAGCAATCAAAAGTAGATTATCCTGTGGAGAAACTGATAGACTAGACAGAAGTCCACAAAAACATAAAAAAAAGAAACTGGTAAACTAAACCAATATAGATCTAAAGGAACCACAAAGATGTTCAAAGCAAAGCATAAAAATATCCAGATTGTAATTGATTGATCAAGTCAATTACAATCTAATTAAGCTGCAGTGAGTTCCTTTTGTTGGCTCCATGAGGGCAATGACTGGCAACTGACCATTCACCTTTTATGTAGTGACTTTTATGATTCATTTGACCCTGATGTTTCTCACTCTAACTAATGCTCATTTTGTGAAATTGTTAAGACTTGATATACAGCAGCGACTCTTCTGATCAATAGTGGCTCTTACTCTGCATTTAATCTTTAGTTGTTATTAATCACTGGCTCTGTTCCACAGTTTGTCATCCTCCCCTCATCTCCAACCAGTCAAGGCAGATGCCCACCCCTCCCTGAGCCTGGTTCTACTTGAGGTTTCTCTTCTGTTGTTGCCAAATTGCTTGCCCGTAAGGTTCATCTGATTGTTGGTGTTTTCTCTGTATTATTGTGGGGTCTTGAACTTGAACTGTTGTGATTTAGCGCTAGATAAAGAGAAACTTTTGCAGAGGAGAAAGCAATAAGGTGAATACACCTTTCACGAACTTTTGCCATTATCTGAAAGAATCTGCTGCAGACTAAAACCCCGTGTCAGACTGTCATTTGCTCTTGGCTTTGCATTATACACCAAAAAGATTGTGGAGGTCACAGACAACTGTTTTGTCGGAGCTTGAAGTTTTTGTATTTCTTAGTGAATAATCACTGAGCCAGCCTCTTAATAGTTCAGTACACCTCTCAAAGCAGTACAGAGGAAGAAGAAATCAGTGTATGCATCAGGATTTAAGGAATGTTTTCAGTAGTACCTATTCAGATATGAGATTTTCAGGAAAAAAAAACAGTCCTGTACAACTGGAAAAATAGATGTATTTACACATGATTATTGATATGGCAAAAACTGGAAAGAGTCGGGGACCTTCACAAACAGAGATGTTACCTAAAACCATTTAAGAAAACAATTTTACAGAGGAGTTAAAAGCAAGAATCCACAGCACACGACGTAACTGTCTTTTGAAGAAATCTTTACACAGACCCAGCCAGCCATTACTTATTTTAATTAAAGCTTTACACATGAACCACTGCATCATGTTCCTGTAACGACTAACTGCATAAACTTTAAATAAAAGGTGTGATTCACAATAATCACAATAAGTTTAGTGAAAGGCAGTGAAACCAATAAAGTTAATGCCTAAAGATAAAAATTTCATTAGCCACAAACCTTTGAATGGTTTTGTTAAATATACTGCTGTAGGTCATCTTCACAGCATAAAGCACACCTGAACAGTATTTTATAAGTTCTTATAAGCTTGAAGAAAATGAGCGGAAAGACCCTGTTTTACACAGTTCCTTCAGTATGATATATTGCTGTCAACATGTATTTCACAGTTTTCATTTTTCAGTTGTTGTTCCTTTAGCGGTCTCCTCATCTGCCTCCATCTCAGCCTCTCCCATCATCCTCCTCTATCACACCAATCCTCTGCTTATCCTCTTTCACTACATTCAAAAATGTTCTCTGTGGTTTTCCTCTTTTCTTCATGACTGGCAGCTTCATATTTAACATCCTTTGCCCACTATATCCACTCTCTCCTCTGCCCATTACAATGCTCAATCCTAATCCTGTCCATAATGGTCACTCCCAATGGAAATCTTAACATCTTCAGCTCTGCCACCTCCAGTTTGGTGCCCCTACTTTTTGCTAGTGCCACCATCTGCAAACCATCATAGGACTCACTAAAAACTCAATTTGGCTGCTCAGATAATCACAGTAGATGAATCTGCATTGTTGATTTTTTATGTCATATGCCTTTCCTGAAACAACACTCCCAGGGATCTATGTCTCCTCTCATTCTCAAACGGAGGATCTTTTGCCTTTAGGCGAATACATTAACCACTGCACCACTAAGCACTGTAACTAAAGCTGTGAAAATCATCTCTTTCACTCTTGGTACAATCCACTATTTAAATACTGTACTGTGACTCTTCTTTTCTGAGTCTGCTTTTGTTATCTTTTAGATTCTTTGTTAAGTAAGACCCAAAGAAAAAGCCCCAAGTACTAATTTGTCTGTTAGAAATAATCTATTTGGCTTCAAAATCTGGAAGTTTAAAGACATGACATGTCCAGGGAAGTAAAAATAGTTGATGCTTCACCATTTCACAGAGCCAGATTTAAAAAAAAACAAAGACAAAACACAAATCTGACAGATGAGGCAAAATTTCTTAATCCAATAAAAAAAATTTTCACCTAAGAAAGAATTGGTTGTCAAATGAAACAAACAGTTTCATTTCTCTGTTGGAGAATTTACTCCACTCCTCAGAGAGAGGCTACCCAAACAGCAGTTTTACAACTGATCTCTTTCTCGCACCGGTCCACCCATTTCAAGACTGCCATTCACATTTATTCTAGTCAATCTACTGAGGAGCTGTAGGGGATCTGTGAATCCAGTTGTGAGCTGCAGCCATTTCTACACTAATCCAACCTCATATGTCTTCTAAGACTGATTGAAAATTCACTGCACCAAAAAAAAAGTTAACACAGAGTGTAAAATTTCTTTGGGTTGGGTTTGAAAAGACAGAAATTGGGTGGCTGAGGGCAAACACAGTGGGAGCGCTGTACAAAATTGATGGGAGACCTTGGAGTTATCAGCCTTGCCCGGAGGCCTGCTGAATAAAGATCAACCATTCAGGACTCTGTATAAATCATCAGGAAGGGGCCTGGGCAGGAGGAGTGTGCAGCAGGAAGAGATGGGGAAAGATCTTTGAGATATATGGTAGAAGATATTGTACTATGTGGGAGAGATGGAGCAAAAATAATAAGAGTCCCTCACCTGTTCAAATAATCTATATCTCTTACCTTTAATGGAAATCATAAATGTTGGTCATTGAGGCCTCACTCACGCTGTGCAACATATCCCTGTGCACTTTTCACCAAATTTATCTCAATACACTTACATGCTGGCCTGGCTCTTCTCTTTCTGTGTCTCTTTTGCTCTCAGTAACCCATTTCCTTTCAGGCCAAGTGAGAGACTGTGGCAGAGTAAATGGTATTGATGCTGGACTAAGATGATAAATTAGGCACTGGGCAATTGGACAGAGGATGGTAAACTGTACAGGCAGAATGTGTTGTGCCACATAAGATGACGAACTAGTTATTAGTGGGTCAGTAATAAAGGTCTTGTTGCTGGTGATGGTGGACATGCACATAAGCATGCAATTCATCATTCTTAAAGAGCCACAATTCATCTTAATTAATGGATGCTATACGTACACACATACAGACTCAATGAACACTGAAGCTGTTCTGAAGGCTCATTTTTAACAACTGTTGAAAATTTTTTTTTTGTAATATACCACTGGGAAGGTAATTAAGTTGATTTTTTTCAGGTTTCCAGATGTTTCTGATCATAACTATGGTAACAATGTCATAAATTTTCCCACTTCTATATGTTCCTAGTCTGCTATCCGTAATCTCTCAAAAAACTCTTAAACCTAGCATTTTCTCCTCATCCTATCCGCAAACCTTTGGACTTTTAGACTGAAGCATGTTTGTTAAGCCATTTATCACTGACCTGTGAATTTATTCATGAGGAAAGAATGGCACCTAACTCAAGGGTTAACTAGTATTGTGTCTACAGATAACAGACAACTCGGGAAAGAACCAATTTAAAATACATAAACACCTAAGATAATTTAGTTTGATAATAAAATTGTATTTTTTGCTGAAACAAGGTGATTTCCAAAAACCTAAAACTTGGCATATCTTGGCATGCTGTGCAGTGTGTCCTTAAAGATAAAATGAGGAAACTGGACAAATAAAGGACAAATGAAAAAGAGAGTTCAGTCTTGAAGAATAAAGGTGGTCATACCAAATACTATTATTTTAATAGTATTTGGTATAGTACATGCAGACATAATATTTCCATGTCTGCATGTGTTTCAGTAAATCACTGCAACTCTTTCCCAATTTTCCTACCAAAATATAAAGAAACAAGGGGTGGTTTAAGACTGTTGGAAAGTACTGTAAATCTTAAAAAAAAAAAAAGGACAAGTTAAGATTATTATAACTACTAAAGCCATTCACAGGCCCAAGCAACCCCGCCGGTCAGCAGTAAAAGCCAATTTGAGAGCTAGCGATATGATGACAAAGGAATTCACTCTATCA